TGATCTAGAAACTAAGAGCCCGTAGATAACTACGGATGAAAATGGTTCTAATACCTTCCCTTTTCATAACCCATCCACCGAACTCAAGAGAATTCTCAAAAGGTCTTTCCTGTTATTTTTCACCCTTTCCTTTATTGGATAAAAGAAAAGTTGGTGGAGACTCTTGCTATCCGCAACAATTGCGATAAAACACAAAACACCCAAGTCAATTATCCCACCGTATTACACTTAGCATTCTTAAAATAAGTGAGAAACTCCGCGGTATAAATAGGAAACCTCTGGTGCATCAGTTACCACCTTGACAGGTTCAGACACTATCACGTCAGGAGTTGTCATCATGCTTTTCATCATTTGGTGAATCTGATCCACTTGAGCACAAAAGTTATGTCTTAGTGACCTTGTGGATACCAGTAAATTTATTCTGAGTTGAATTAACAACAACCCTAGTGACAAGCCATTGATAAGTGTTGGCAGTGATACCCTCAATCAACTTGTATCCATCTTCATAAGACCTAAACAATAGAGATCCATCACTTGAGGCATCTAGTGTGTTCCTTGAAGAAGGTACCAATCCATTATAGAATATTTCAAGTTGAATACATATTGGGATCCCATGATAGGGACATTATCTTTGTAACTTCTTGAGTCTTTCCTAAGCATCAAACAAAGACTCATTATCTCCTTGTCTAAATGAGGTTATTTCATTTCTCATTGTGGCATTCTTGACAAGAGGAAAATATTTGGCTAGAAAATTTTCAGCGAAATCATTCCATGTGGCTATGGAATTGGTCTCCAAGGAATTTAACCAATTCTTGACTCTACCCCTTAGAGAGTATGGAAAGAGCCTTAACCTGAACGTGTCATCAGTAACACTAGGGATATTAAAGTTACTTGCAACTTCTAGAAGTTATCTTAAGTTCAAGTGTGGATCCTCATTTGTAAAGTCTGGGTATTGGCCAATAGCTTGTAACATTTGAAACATCATTGGATTGAACTCAAACTATGCTATAGTGATCTCTAAATATGTGATTCTCGTGTCCATGGCGTTGGGATCAAAGACTACATAGTCTTTGATGTTTCTTGCTTTATCATTGGCAATGTCAATGATGTTAGTATCTTCCATGATAACTTTCTCTTGCACTAACCTTTCTTGGTCTTCTATGTCAACAACAAGGAAGGGAGAAAGACTCCCTGGTAAATTTCCAGTAAGCTAAAATCTCCTTAGCAATCTGAATGTCCTTTTAGGTTCAATATCTCCTCTGTAAACTAGGTTTAACAACTTGTGCATGCAACAACTAAGCACCTATCGTGACACCAGATTAGGGGAAACGTTAAAGGATTAAATGGTTAACTAAAAATAGTAATAAATACAAAATAAAAATGTTAACTTGGCATTCCCCAACAATGACGCCAAAAACTTGTTGCTTGAAAATGTGTCACATGCAAGTATACATGTATATTTAAAAGTAGAAAATGATTAAAAAAAAGTAAGGATATTTTATCCACATAGAGTGTAAGTAACTTATATTGATTTTGTAGGACACTATTTTTTTGAATTTAAGCACGAGAAAAGATAAAAAGAATATATGAGTGTCACAAGTTCAACTTTCTTTTAAACAAGATCCAAACAGTGTAAAATGAGTGTTGTGAATATTTCAAGAGAGTGTAAGTTTAACTATGATCCATTAATATTCATGAAGCAATCATTTGTACATGATGTGATGTGTCATTCCAAGAAAGGTCATAAAGTGATCTAAGGGTGTATTTTTATAACATCAAAACATGTATTTTAAGGTAAGGGAACAAATCTATAAGTCACACTTATAACCCTAAAATACGTCTGTTTATATTCTGAAAATCCTTTATAGTTGTAGTTTTCTATCTCTAAGTGAACTAATGAAGTGAATATCTATATACCACTCTTTTCAACTAATTTTATTAAGAAATTCACTTGTTGTTGGATCTCTCACAACAACAAGCTTTTATCTTGTTCTAATTCTTTTCTAACAACTGCCATATGCTGAGCAAGTTGCTCTTCATGCCTGGTATGTACAACACATTGGGAATTATTGACCTTTTGCGATCTTTCTCATAATAAGATCATCTCTAATACCTTCGGTTGCTAGAGTATTGTCATTTGCAAATTTTACCATATTCTTCATTAAGGGTTTTAGGTTGACAAACCAATCTTTCCTTCCAAACACGTGTGATGAGCATCCTGAATCCAAGTATCATTGGTCTTTGAATCTATCTTCATATCTTGTTGTGACCATCAACATCATCTCTTCTTCTTCTTCTTCTTCATACTTTGTAAACTTTGCATCACTTTCTTGATTCTTTCGCTTTTCTGGACAACCACTAAACTAATGACCATACTTATGACAATTATAACATTGATTGTGACTCTTGTCAGGCTTTCGACCACCACCTATTCCTCTATCTCTGACACCACCTCTTTGGTTGCCATGGTAATGCGGTCTTCTTTAATTCAAAATAATTCCTTCCCGCTAGTTTCGTCTTCCAGTCGAATTATTGTAGCCACCTCTACCTTTGTCGAGCCACTTTCCTTTGCCTTTACTTTCTTTTGCTGATTGTGCTTGCAAAGCCACGTTACTTTTTGACTTTCCTGCATCTCTTTCACTCATACGCTGTTCATGAGATTCAAGCATCCCTTGAAGCTCTTCTTTTGTTAACTTCAACAAATCCTTCAATTCTTCTATGGCTACCACCACGTGGTCGAACTTAGGAGCCAAAGACCTCAAGATCTTTGAAACAACAACTCTTGTTGTTAACGCTTCTCCATATACCTTGACTTGATTCACTAGTTTCATAATCCTAGTGAAGAAATCATATATGCTCTCGATATCTTCCATCTGAAGTAATTCATACGTTCTTTTGTGAGTTTTTAACCTCACCTCTTTCACCTTTTTTGCACCTCTAAAAGATTTCTCAAGAATCTCCCAAGCTTCTTTTGTAGATTCTATATCACTAACATTTTCAAAAATTTCTGGACTAACACATTGGTGAATTATAAAGAGAGCTTTATAATTTTTCTTCTCTAATTCTTTGTATGCTGTCTTTTCTTTGCCCGTTGCCTTTTCTACAAGCGGTTCTAATCCTTCTTTCACAAGATCCCAAAGACCTTGATAACAAAATATAATCTTCATCTATTTGCACAAATTCTCATAGTTATCATCTTTCAGAATTGGAAGACTGACTTGAAAATTCCCATTCACATAATTCACTGCCATTGTAATTTTCTTCTTCCCTTGGTCGCTTCTTGATCGTTATTCACTTGAATCGATCAAGCGGAGCTCTTGATACCAGATGTTGAAAATCCACCAAAACCTATAATGAATTTCTATCAATCTTGATGAATATGATTTTTATCACCACATAATGACAATGAAAAGAAAAATCAAAGAAGAAAAGAAATATATGGTTTCTGTAGAGTAACTCTCTGCATACAAACTATGTAATACTTTCTTATTCACTTTGCAACTGCAAAATTAAGTGAATACTCAATCTGAATTAATTACAAAAATAGGAATTACTCCATCTACTTATAATTGAGTTTGCTTTCTCCTTAAGCCAAAAAGCCCAAAACTATAAAAGTCTAAAATACTTATTTAGGATCTAAATCAAATCTGTGTGTAGCAACCTGATTACAACACTTCGACACACCTTGTATTCAAACAACAATCTACTTCAACATAAAGAATTACACTTTCAACACAAATCTAATGGATGAAAGACTTATATCAAATCTAATCAATAAAAACTCTATCATCAATTTAATAGACGAAAGTCCTTTTTTATTATTTATTTTAATATTTATTGATTTTTATTATTTTACTATTATTTATAAATTAATGTAAAAATTATTAAACGTAAAAATATAGAATACGATATTAGTACTCTCATAGAATAATTTTTTTTAATGTCAATACATTTTATTAATATAACTTTTATTATTTAAATTGTTATTGTATTATTTTAATAATTAAAATATTTTTGTAATTTATAAAATAATAATGAAAAATGATCAAATTTAAAAGAAAATAACAATCCTTCATCTATTCATTGATTTTACATAAATTTTTTAAATTAAAAATAGGACATTTTAAAGGAATTCTTTTTAAAGTGAAGCATTTGAAGAATAGAGTACTAGTACTAGTATTATATTTGTGGGACATGTGAATAAAAGTTGAATGATGGTTGAAGTTCCTCCTAGGTGATTCCGTTACGTTCCAATCCCAGTGTAACCAAATTCGCTGTCATCGGGAACATACAAAGAATTTACTGCAAAAAAGTACGACGGTTTATTCCTCCTATTCAAAATTTAAATTAATAATGAACCTTCACATTTCATACCACCAACCATCACTTAACAATAATAACTTCCCTCACAAAGCCGTCGAATTAATTATCTAACCACTCTCTTTTTATAGGACGAGTTAATAATAAATGTAATCAACTGCCTTGTAAAAAAATAAATCAACTATCGTATTTTTTATTACGTTAAATCAGTTCATTTGATGTTTTTACTATAGATACAGCGACGTTTGTTCAAACTTACGGCTGTATAAATATAGTATTATACGAGTATAGATGTAGAGATGGAAGTTCAAATTTGCAAATATTTATTGCCTTACTCCACTAAACTGCCAAAACCAACCTATCCTATTCTCCCTCCTTTTAATTTAAAACAGTAATCATATTTGTATTTTCATTAAATTTGCAAATGTACAAACACCATTTGTACCAGTAAATAGCACTAATCACTATGCATAATAACACCTCTCTCTCTCTCTCTCTCTCTCTCTCTCTCTCTCTCTCTCTCTCTCTCTCTCTCTCTTCTGAGCTAGTTGTATTGATAACTTGATATTCCTCCAAAATAGAAACAAAGCAGAGATAAGTGTGATTCTGATACCAAAACTTTCCTCTCGCCGGAAAATGCATTAATTACAGAACCTTCTTCTTCACACCACCGCCATAAAATGCGCCAATCACTTCTCTCCAACCACCAACCAGACGCTAACAGCAATAACAACAACAGAACCTCAGAAAACCAACCACCGCCGCCGGCTGTTGTCACCGGCCGTAGCCGGTCTCAGTTGGGAAGCCGGAGAGTTTCACCTACAAGCATAACAATCGAATTCGAAACGAAAAGAATCTCGAAGAAGGTTTTACCGAACGGTGATTCTTACATGGGGAGTTTCTCCGGTAACGTACCGAATGGATCGGGGAAATACGCATGGAGTGATGGATGTGTTTACGAAGGAGAGTGGAAACGAGGAAAAGCTTCCGGGAAAGGAAAATTCTCGTGGCCTTCTGGTGCTATCTACGAAGGGGAAATCAAACTAGGTCGAATGGAAGGGTTTGGGACATTCACCGGATCCGACGGAGATACTTACAGAGGTTCATGGAGCTCCGATGTAAAGCACGGGTATGGACAGAGGCGTTACGTTAACGGAGATTATTACGAAGGTTGGTGGAAAAAGAATGTTCAAGAAGGAAACGGAAGGTACGTTTGGAGGAACGGGAATGAGTATATTGGTGAATGGAAGAACGGTGTTATTAACGGGAGAGGTACTCTTGTTTGGTTGAATGGGAATCGTTATGAAGGTGAATGGGAGAATGGTGTTCCCAAAGGGCAAGGCGTGTTTACTTGGCCTGATGGAAGTTGCTATGTTGGGAATTGGAATAATAGAGATGTTAAGATGCATTTGTTGAATGGGACTTTTTATTCTGGGAATGGACCTTTGTTTGGGGATGATTTTGCTATAACAATGAGGAAAAGGTCTTCGGTTGAGGTTGATGGCGAGAAGAATTTTCGGAAGATTTGTATATGGGAGTCTGATGGAGAAGCTGGTGATATAACTTGTGATATAATCGATAATGTGTCGATTTTGAATAGGATTGGAAGTGAAACTATGTCAGATCCGCAAGAGATTAAGCAGTTTCAGAGGAATCCTTGTTGTTTTGTTTCTGAGGTTAAGAGGCCTGGTGAAACTATATCTAAGGGGCATAAGAATTATGATCTTATGCTTAATCTGCAATTGGGTATTAGGTAAAGCTCACTTTTGAAACTTGGGTTCTAAATGTTGATTGTTTGTGATTTTGTACTAGTTTTGGATTCAACGGGTGTTTTGTTTTTGTAGGCACTCTGTTGGAAAGGAAGCTTCCATATCAAGAGAGCTAAAACCGAGTGATTTTGATTCAAAGGAGAAGTTTTGGACTAGGTTTCCTTCTGAAGGTTCTAAGATTACGCCACCACATCAATCGATGGAGTTCCGCTGGAAAGATTACTGCCCTATGGTTTTTAGGTATAGCCTTTTTGATTTTCTAGTAGTTAATGTTAATTTCTTTTAGCATGCACAAAGGATGAATTCAATTTCATGCTAGGTTGTTGCAAGATCTTTACCAATTGAGCCTTTTGTAGTTATGTCTTTTAGGTTTGGTTAGTCTAATTAACTTAAGGTTAATAATTTTGAGTTTTTTGCAAATTTATTGTCTTTATTTTCTGTTCAATTGTTAACTTGGTTTGGTTTTGAATTTCAGACAATTGAGGAAGCAATTTCAGGTAGATCCTGCTGATTACATGTTAGCTATATGTGGGAATGCTGCCCTTAGGGAACTTTCATCACCTGGCAAAAGTGGAAGTTTCTTCTACTTGACCCAAGATGACAGATATATGATAAAGACAGTGAAAAAATCTGAAGTCAAGGTTTGTTTTTTAGTTTTTGAATTTGACAACTTTTTTTTTATGCGTTCTTTCAAACCAAATTGATAGACATATGTATTGAGGTTACTTTGGTGATTTTCTTGTAGGTACTTCTTCGGATGCTTCGAAGTTATTATCAACATGTATCTCAGTATGAGAATTCGCTTGTGACAAAGTTCTATGGGGTACACTGTGTCAAACCAATTGGAGGCCAGAAGGTATGTCTTTGAAGTTTAAGTTGTTTTAAGTGACTGGACTATGAGTTGCAGTAACTGAGAGTTTGTTTTTATTGAAAACCAGACTCGGTTCATTGTGATGGGCAATCTTTTCTGCTCAGAATATCCAATCCATAGACGATTTGATTTGAAGGGGTCGTCACATGGCCGTACAACGGATAAGACCGAAGAAGAAATTGATGAAACTACCACCCTCAAGGACCTGGATCTCAATTTTGTGTTTCGCCTGCAAAGAAATTGGTTCAAGGATCTCATCAAGTAAGTTGTTATAGTGAGCATTTTTTGCGCTGCTACTTAGCATTTTTTGCGCTGCTACTTAGCATTGAAACATCATGCATATCTGATAAACTAAACTTGTCCTGATTTTTGTGCAGACAAATGGAGCGGGATTGCGAGTTTTTGGAAGCCGAGGGAATTATGGATTACAGCCTTTTGATTGGCATTCATTTTCGTGATGATAATACATATGACAAAATGGGGTTGTCACCGTTTCTTTTACGCACTGGTACTGATGAATATTTCCTTTCGGTGTGCATAGTAGATGAGTTTTCTGTAATATTAATAGAACTAAGACTTGTTATGTTTTTACTTTTAGGCAAGCAGGACTCTTATCAGAGTGAAAAGTTTATGCGTGGTTATCGCTTCCTTGAAGCAGAGCTACAGGACAGGGATCGAGTCAAATCTGGGCGGTATGTTGAAATATGTTATGGTTCTCTGAATTTAAGTTACTAGAATTATTAGGTTGTTTTAACATCACATCCATAATATTAGTGGGTTGTTACATTTTGTTCCCCAACCTACCAATATTTTTTTTCGCATTTCTATCCTAGTGAAAAATTTGATTAGTTATTTCCCCATAAAGCTCTGTTATTGCATGTTCGGGTTAAGTTCTAGTTCTATGATGTTTTTTTTTTTGGAGAAATTCTCTGATGTCATTTTAAATGCTCAATAATTCATATTATGTTTGATGATATTCATGGAAATAATTGCAATTAGCTTGAATTATCTTAGCAAGTAGGTGGGAATAATGTTGACATGTAGAGCAAGCAACCTTTGTTTTTAGGGGCATACCAGGTTGTAGTCCTATTTTTTTTTTTAAACTGACATTATTTATGTCTGGAAGCTTTCATACCATCTCTATATTGACAATCTGAACTAATCCTGTACTCCAACGTTTATAAAGCAGTTGTTGTGGTGGTTGACATTTAATGTGAATATAATTAACTTTATTCTATGGGAACATCAGCAACTTTATTCTATGGGAAGGGGATTAATCTTATTTGTAAATTTGATGTATTAAGTAGGATTTTTCTTTATTTTCAGGAAATCCTTGATTAGGTTAGGAGCTAACATGCCTGCAAGAGCAGAACGCATGGCTCGGAGGAGTGATTTTGACCAATACACCAGTGGTGGTATCAGCCATTTTACTCCTTATCGCATTGGGGAGACCTATGATGTTGTTTTATATTGTGGGATTATCGACATTTTGCAAGATTACGACATCAGCAAGAAGTTGGAACATGCATACAAGTCCTGGCAAGTTGACCCTTCATCAATCTCAGCCGTAGATCCAAAGCTCTACTCGAAGAGGTTTCGTGATTTTGTTGGGAGAATATTCAGCCAAGACCGGTAGCAGCATCCAGTAGGGAAGAATGTGTAAATGCTGTCACAATGTTCCCAGGAAAAAAAAGCTGGAACTCGATTCAGCTATCGGTGTTGATGAGCATGCAATTGACAGTTTGTGATTAACAGGTAATATGACACTGAGAATCTAATCTGCATGCTGGATCTTTGTGGGGAATTTTGAAGGTTTTGCCATAAAGATGGGTTCACTGAAGGCAGGGAGATCTTTGTATATGGAAGGTGGTGGAAATGATCTCTGCCTTTTCTCCTTGTTTTTCCATTGGTTGGTTAGATTTGTAAATTCTTTTGTACTAGGAGATGATATTGTGAAATGTAAAAAAATGATACGTAGAGGAGAAATGAAATTATGAAATGCTTTCAGAGCCAGGAATCCAAATGCGTAGATACTTTACTTGGCAGTAGTAATAAAGAAAATGTACAGTATTTTATTTTAAAATGGTTAATTGAGATGGCACATGTTTGAAGACATGGTTTTGGTTATGGAGTACAGAGTTGATGATGCTGCTCTTTGGGATCTTCATGTGTGTCCCGCCATTATGCGTTGAAAGTTAATACTAGTATTAAAAAATAATTTTGTAGTGAATGTGAGGAGGGCATTGGTCGATGAAGTGTTATGAAAAGCAGAGAAAGCACGAGAAAGATTCGTTTGTTGTGTTTCTTGATTTTTCCTCAGTTTGGTTCCTGCTTTTCACTGTTTATGTAGTTGTACTTAAACCACTCTTTAATTCTAGTTAAGGAATGTGATAACAATATTTTAGTAATTGTTTTGATCCTAAAAAATCATTCTTGGGTAATCTTCCACCTGGTAAGATCAATTAAAAAATTAAGAGTATCATCACGCCGTTAATCTTGTTAATGATCTTAAGGGGATTTGAGAAACAGACATATATGTTCTGTCATGTCACGAGCTTTGGAAATCGGGTAAGACGCGTCTCAATGTCAGATTGTGGTCAAAGTCAGTCGCAGAGTCAGAAAGATTATGCTTAAAGAAATGAGGTACACACTCTCTTTCTTGATCACATGCATAAGTAAAATTATTTTAAAGAGTATGCTTAGTAATAAGGTGTACACAAATATTTTCATTATCACAAGCCTGAATAAAATTAATTTAAACTCACACATGTTAATGAATTGAAAATTGTAATATACGCATTAATTATTAAAAGAAACTCATTTTAAAATGGAGGTGCACCTGACTAGAGTTATGAGTTACTACTAATTACTACTATTTTTTTTAGGTTATATTTGAGAGTTTGGAGGAGAATGGAAGGGAGTACTTTCAATTTTTTTTTTTAAATATAAAGAAATTTTTAATATTTTAAAAAAATATTTTATTTAGAATGGTAAAATAATATTTATATGTATTTTTAGTTTTTGAAATACTATAAAACAAAAATTATATTTGAATAAATTGATCAAGCTTTCTAAAATCATCTAAAACCTTCGTCTAATACAAATTTTGAATTCTCCAAAATTAAAGAGTTTTTGGTGTTACGGATAAAAACAAACCCTCGAAAATCTTCCCAAGCAAAACTTTTCTATTTTTTTTACTCAATTCTTTCTATTTTTCAAAGTTCTTCTTTCCTTTCCCTCCAAACTCCTAAATATAACCTTTGAGATGAAGGAATATGCTCCCTTCATCATACCATAACAACCTTGTCATGAAATTTTAAGTTGAGTGAATGATTATCAATTAATTCAAAATAGTAATTCTATTTAACAAAGTAGATGTCGTGTGCAAAAGGGTTGAGTTAGTTTGAAAACTGATGATGCCAACTGAGAGAATCATGCAGGGTGTGGTGGGTTGGTTATATTTATGTGTTTGGATTGACGGTTGACAAAATTAATTATAGCTGAATTAGGTTTGACATAATTAATTCTAGCAAAATTTTTTGTGTTCCTCTGACATTGTTGTTGTTACGGATCTACAGATATGCGAAATACCATATCAAGACCACCTGTTGCAATCAAAGACTTGAAGCCTGACAATAACAAATGGAAGATAGCCATTCGCATTGTCGAACTTTGGACTATTAAGGAACGCAATGGTCAACAACACATTGAAGTTGTTATTCAGGATGCAAAGGTTATCGTTACATCCGAGCATTGATTTATTTTCGTCGTTACACTGACTTTGTTCATCTTGATTGTTATTTATTTATTTTGTTAAATGCATAGGATGATTAAATACATGTTGTTACCCTTTCCCGTGAAATTGAGACTTGGAATAATCTGTTAAAGGAAAATGATACCTACATGATTTATAACGGTGAATCTTTGTTGTATGACCTTCCCTTGAAAGTGTGTGATAACGACTTCAAGCTGTTTTTCAGTGGTGCTACAACCATCACTGCGGTTGACATCCCTGAGATACCATATCACACTTTCAAGTTCAAGTCGTTTCAAGATTTCTTAAATGGAGACTTTGTTGTTGACCGGTTATATGGTAAGTACTGTTATACTTATTATTTCAATTCAAGTGTTTTAAAATAACATATCATTCGTGTATTTGTGGTTTCAGATGTTATTGGTGTTGTACAAAATGTGGCAAGGACTCAAGTTCCTGGAGCTGGGAAAAAAGCGTGTGTAAATCTGTCTTTGACTGATGAAATGTTAGTTAATAAGACCAACATAGGCATTATCTTGTCTTCGAACATTTTTTATGTTTCTGCAAAATTAATACATTGACCACTCATTTTTCTTTGATCATTAAAGGGTAATGAGCTTGATTTTACTCTATGGGAATCATATGCAACACAATTCATGGTGTACTATGCTGACATTGAAGCACTTGTTATCTGTTCTGGACTGGTCCGACAGTCAGAGTGGGCCCATTCTAAACTCCCTCTTTGGCGCGGTCTATACGACCTTGACCTGAATTCTCCCCGCTCCCTATCGGGCGCAATTGATCATTTTCTCTCCTAGATCGGCACTGGCCCACGGTGACCAACGAGCATCTCCCAGTCTGCCCAACATCAAGTCGCCCAGAAAACCAGGAACCGACCAGACCGTTGCCCGTAATCTACCTCCTCCTCAAAACCAACGGCTAGTTACGGGCATGCATGCTCGGTATGACCAAGTCTTGGGAGTTACCTAATTTCACAGGTCCGCATATCTAGGCCCAAAAATAGGAATCAATGGCCACGCGCCAGGGGCGTTATATATACCCTCACATATGTGAGGTTAGGTATCGAATATTCACTATTCACTGCTAAATCCTAACACTTTGCTTATATCTCTTCGCTCCCTTACTTACTTGATCGTCAGAGTGCCTTGCAAGTACAACCCCCCTTTTTCCTCCTCGACTTTCCTGCCTGACAGAAGATCGTCATCCCCCCACCTTGCAGGTTCTGATCACCGATAAGACCAATGGCGCCGTCTGTGGGAATCTATCTTCCCTGTTTTCTACTCCTCGTGATCTGAAAACCAAAGATCCTCTCCATTCAAAAATCATGATTGACCGTGACGATCATCATCCATCTGGAAAGATTCACTTTCCCCAATGCACAAGAATGACGGGGGTTAGGGACATCCTCACTTCGAGGATAACTTCGACCTCCACGAAGGTCGAACTGCATCCCCATATTCCATCAGCATCCAACGCGACGATCAATAATTCTTGGATGGACAACGTCCCAAGATCCCCGCTGAGGAACTGCCAGAGATCCTACAACCAGTTCCTATCCCTCAGAGCATCGATCCAACCATCATAGCATTACTCGCTGCCATCAACCAAATCAATGCCCTTATCTTGCAACAGAACAAAAAGATGGGGGCCCTGGGAACTTAAGCGGTCAAGATCTCCTCCTCGGAGATCCCGACGATGATATTCCCCTAACATATCTCCACCAAGGCATGGAATTCCACCAACAAAGGAGAAGCGCGACGTTTCTTTCTTCAAGAAACGCGATCGCTCACCTCCCCCAAAAGATCAAGACTTTATATCGTCCAAGAGAAAGAAAGACGATAATTGTCGATCACTATCGCCCAAGCTGAGGCAGCAGTGGAGGAGTCCTTCCCCCCGTCGAGACCACGACACCCGACGGGGACAAAATTATCACTCCCCTTATTTGTCTCCTATAGATAGTGACGACAACAAGCCCCACAGACCTTTGTCGAGAGAAATTACTGAAACACCTCCCCCGGTCGGACTAGAGAAACCACCCCTTTTGGAGACGTACGACGGGACGACGGATCCCGACAAACATATTGAGAAAATCGATGCTCTCCTCGACTACCAAGGGGTCAGAGGAGCCATCAAATGCAGGTTGTTCCCGACCACACTCAGGAAGGGAGCTATGTCCTGGTACAAGAGTCTCCCAGATGAATCTATCACCTCTTGGAAGCAGCTTGGGAGGATGTTCTTGAGGCATTTCACAGCCTCACGTCGACACCCGAAGTCAGAGGCTTCGCTCAAAACGATCATCCAAGGCAGGGATGAATCTCTCTGGGCATACATGGAGCGCTTCAACAAGGAAGCAGTGCAGGCCTCTACGATCAACAACATGAAGAAATACCTCATTGAGTGTGGGCTCCGTCCCCGCAGTGACTTTGCCAAGGCGATAGGCATCGAGACATTGGCGACCCTCTACTCCCTCCTCCTCAAAGCTCAAGCGTACATACATTACGAGGAGAAGGAAACCGCTAAAAGCGCTTGGGAATCAAAGCACATAGAGAGTTCCAAGCCCTCAAGAAATGGTGAACCCTTGACTTCTCGTCGAGGAGAGAAGAAACGAGAAGACAGATCTCGGGACCCCAAGGACTACAAGGGACCCGCTGGGAGGTTCCACGACTACACCCCTATGACAACTTTGAGGAAGCGTATTCTATCTGAATGCACAAATTTCAAATTCAAACAGGGCGGGGTGCACTTTTCCCAACAAACGCCCTTGAAACCGGGAATCGACAAAAGCAAATATTGCAGGTTCCATAAAAGCCATGGGCACAATACTGAAGATTGCATCCATCTCAAGGATGTAATCAAAATATTGATTTGAGACGGGCACCTCAAATAATACAAGAAGCAAGAGGGCGCCTGTGAAGAGGCTTCAGAAGCCAAAAATATCGAAGATGGGAAGGAGTCCCCCGACATTAACACCATACCAGTCGCCATGAGCATCTCGCGGCCAGAAGACTTCTACCAATTGGACATGAAGGGAGTTCCTTTATACTTCTCCTCTCATAGTTCCTGGGATTCGTTCCCCGCTGCTATAGTCATCTCCGGTGGGGGATTCAACAGGAACACAGTGGGATCTGTCAAAAGAAGATTCGACCAACTGATCGAGGCCAACTCTGACATGCACCCCACGCTTGACAAGTTCCAAGGAGGTTCTCACCCCCTTGCCTTCTATAGGGAAGAACTACTAGGAAGGGCCCCCAGCCCCACCATCCCGCTGCTCATAAGGGCTCGCATGGTAAATTTCAATGTGCGGCACATTCTGGTCAACTAGGGAAGCTCGATAGAAATTATGTACTCCCAGTTGTTCACTACTCTGCAGCTGAATGAAATCCATCTGACCCCGTACGTTGGATCAGATCTTAAGGGCTTAAACGGGGTCAGTATAAAACCCTGGGGATATGTCGAGCTAATCGTCACCTTCGGGAGAGGAGTGACAGTCAAAGCCATAAAGACCCAATTTCTGGTAATAGACTGCCCGTCTCTTTACCGGTGCATCTTCGGGAGACCAACTCTCTCTGAGTTGATTGCAGTGCCCTCCACCGTGCACCTTAAGATGAAGTACTACACTGCTGACGGTTTGGTCGCCACCCTCCACATGGACATCCAAGTGGCGAGGATATATTGTGAAGCCTCGTCCAGAGGTCTCAATTCCATCAATGTTCATCCTCAAATGACCACTGGAGCTATGATACCATATAGCTCCAAGGGGATCAAGCCACTACCGAGGGTAAACGCCATCAACCTCGACGACCTCTTCTCCAGAGAAGATCACACTGAATAGAGGACCAAAGGCAAAGAACCCATGATCGAAGCCGGGGGATCTTCCCCATCTGGAGGTAGCACATAACTATAACGACCCATTTCAGACGGAGATTTTGAGCTCATCCCTCTCGGGAATGATCCCACTAGAGGAGTGAAGATAAGAGTTGCCCTCCCCGACTTGGCAAAGAAGCAGCTTGAAGCCTGCCTAAGGGAGAATTCTGACCAATTTTCCTGAAGCGCGACCGAGATGCCTATAATACATCTGGAAATCGCATGCCATCACCTGACCATAGATCCTGCCCTCAAGACGGTCGCTCAGTGCAGAAGAAAGCAGTCTGCTGAAAAAACGGAGGCTACCGAACTAGCTGTAAAGACCTCTTAGAGGCATATTTTATTCCTGAAGCCCAGTACACAATATGGCTTTAAAATGTAGTCCTTGTAAAAAAATCTAATGGAAAATGGCGCATGTGCATTGATTATACTGATCTCAACTAGGTTTTCCTAAAAGATGCTTATCCCCTCCCCAATATTGAGAAACTGGTCGACAACTCGGCCGATTTTAAATTACTGTCATTTATGGATGCATATTCTGGCTACAACTAGATTCAGATGGAGAAAACAGACAAAAAATACACCACTTTCATGACCTAATCAGGCAACTATTACTACAACGTAATGCCCTTCAGCCTAAAAAACGCGGGCGCTACATATCAGCGCATGATGAATAAAGTCTTTTGCAATGAAATAAGAGATATGCTCGAAGTCTATATGGACGACATGATTGTAAAATCAAAGGAAGAGGTCGACCATGTCCTCCATTTAAAGAAAGTGTTTGAGCAAGCTCGAAAATGCCAAATATGGTTCAACCCAGAGAAATGCACCTTTGGGGTACGAGCAGGGAAGTTCCTTGGATTCTATCTAACGGAATGAGGCATTGAGGCGAACTCCGACAAATGTCGAGCATTCTCTGAATTTCCAACACCCACTTTAAAAAAGTCCATTCAAATCCTGAATGGCATGCTCACTTCTCTCTCTCGATTTGTGG